TTCCTCCGTGCGTGGCGATCTCGCCACCTCCCAAGTTAGCCCTTCGTGGCCTCTATGGCTACCTCGCCATCTCCAACCTCAATCCTCCATTCTCTCTTCCACCCCGCTGGCTGGCGCCGTCATGAGCCCCTCAGCCACCAGGCTGAGGCACGGCGACCACCCAACGTCTTCACCACCCTTCACTCCCCCGACTGCCCCAGATAGCTTCCTGTCTCCCCGCTATAACTTCTCCCCCACGTCACCCTGACTCCTCCCTCTCGGATCGTCATATCCGCCCCGCCCATTTACGCCCGCATTACATAATGAAATAGCGACATAGAATATAACCAGAAAACTATAGACAGACATATAAGCAGACAGATATCACCAAGATACATAGAGAGAGCAACCCAGGTACAGAGAGAGGTGATCGTCTCTGTGGGGTGGCCTTAAATAGACAGAGGGGGGCGGAGGCAGAGAGAGGGAGGGGGTAGGGAAAACATTTACATGTCAATGAGTACGAAGGGAGGGGAGTAAGGTAAGCAGGCTTAGAGGGAGACAGAACACACTAAATTAAATAACCTAGCAAAGTATCGAAATGTTATGTAAAACGACACAGAGAGTCGGTCAACACACAATTAACGCATTGCCTGGTCGATTACGTATTTCAAAGATTGCTAAGTTAGAATTTAAGTGTGAAAATTCCAAAGAAAGACAAAACATAAAAAAAGAGGAACGGAGACACACAGACAGAGCAGAACCTAAGAACGATACAAAACGAGTGTAGACAGAGAAAATTACACTAAATATACAGGCAGAGAGAGAGAACAAGAAACCCAGAGAGAGAGAAAAAGGTAAACTTGGAACTTCCCCGTAGAAGTGGTTCAATCTTAATTTTGGAGCTTTCGTGACTGCAGGAATTATTCTTTGGTTTTTTCGGTAAAGTCACGTATAAAAATAAAATAATAAATTAAATAATAGCATACGACGTTTCGAAACGTCGTATGCTATTATTTAATTTATTATTTTATTTTTATACGTGACTTTACCGAAAAAACCAAAGAATTATTAACTAGTGTTATAGATTAGCAAACCGTACAATGAAGTGTTATATTTGATTCTCAATCGAATTATTAGAATCATTCCGTCGTCCTCTTTGAATCACACGATGCTCGTAAGTATGTAACATGTATGTATGTAACATGTATCTATGTAACATGTATGTATGTAACATGTATCTATGTAATATGTATGTATGTAACATGTATCTATGTAATATGTATGTATGTAACATGTATCTATGTAACATGTATGTATGTAACATGGTACATGCATGTAACATGTATGCATGTAACATGTCTGTATGTAATATGGACGTGCCAACCAATGGTAGGATATGTGATACGAAAGGTGCAGGATCAGGATGGGATTAAAATTATTTGAATAACACTTTGGTGGTATTAGGATCAAGCTGCCCACTGCTAGATGAATATTCCATCTCAATGGCATCAAATAACAATATTCAGTATGATTATGTAAAATAATCGCACAAACGCAATATTAGCCCGTGAAATAATGAATCGTTACAATTGTAATGACTCCGGACTCAGACTGCAGAGGGTTCTTTTATTTAGCCTTTAACGCGGTTTCAGACCCCAGGCGTCACGATATAGCAACGACGACGACGAGACAGCAACCAGCCAACACAGCCCCAAACCTCGTTTCTCCCCCTCTCTCATTCTCGGCGTGAACCTCCGCCCACACTTGGTCTCGCCTTCCCTTCTCGAACTCTCTCTATCTTGTTGTCACCACTTGTCCCTTAGTTGACGCACTGTCTTTACATCACCCACCTCTATGACCTCTACCTGACCCCGCCATAGGCGGAGCAACTTGGGGGACGTACCCGGTGGCACCTGTGGGCAATACAACCATGCCCTGTCCCCCACTGCCCATGGAAGCACGTGTTCCCGCCGCCCCGAGTTCTTTTCATTAGCGGATTGCGCTCTGGTGGGGAAAGGTCCTCGTTATGAATCGTTTCGCAACATTTAGGTCCAGAAAACCGAAGTACACCGGGAATCACCTGTACTTAAAAACATGTACACTGATAACACTATAAACAATAACACTAAACATTAAACGACAATAAAAATATCAACTGGTTTTATAATTTATAGCACCATAAACGGAGGTACGGTATTTAAATCTCATTAGAAGTATTAAAATCGCACTCTACACATGTGTATGTAAATTATCTGTTCAATCGAACCGGGGGTCGGATATGTGAACTGTGGGGGGTCCAGGGCAAGAATCGCATTCAAATTTTAAAATAACAATATTGTCGTATTAGCATTTTGATGTTATGTGCAAATGCAAATCGTTAGTCGTAAATGCGAGGGATGGGTTAAGAGGCGCACGTTTAATCCAGTGTTAACATTTATTTTAGCATCATATTTAAGGACACTGTTGTTGATAAGAATTCGTCTGGACATGCCATGTGACTTGTTCTACTCGATCAACCAAAATTAATACAATGTCGGTCATACTGGAGTGTGATTTCATTCATGAGTAGTGCGATAATATACTTCGCTGATCCCCGATTACACTAACCTACACGCAGTTATGTTTACACAAAGTAAACTTTATTCGCTCAAACCTCAGCTCAGACATGATCATAGTATTCATTTCCAAAGACGTGTGCGGTCCCGCGAGAGAAGGGCCCGGCCACAAAGAGCCCGGCAGCAGAAGCAGCAGAATCAGAAGTAGTTGCGTCGCCCTCGAAATGTGATGTTGCTGCTGGAGTTGATTCTTTTGCTGTTATATACGCAGGGAGGTGGTATTCGGTGATGGAAAACGCCTTTGATAAAAGACTCTGATCAAACGCACCCGATTGACGCCCTTGATCGTCGCATTTGATCAACTCTGAGAGTTGAAGGCTCTCACATGTTAAACTCTAACATAGTGAAATATAATATTATAACCTATGAACTACAACTATCCACTGTAACGCTGTAAAATACTATTAATTGTTATGGTGTATAATCACGTAAAATGAGGTGTCGGATTATAATCGCATAAGAATCATTAGAATCGCACTGTGCTCATATTATAATCACACTGTGGTCGTACGTATGTTAAGTGAATATGCGAACACGGGGGTAGGATATGCAGGATTAGAATCGAATTACAATTATTCGAATCCCACTAGTCGTATTAGAATCACACTGTCCACTGTTGGATGAATGGATTTGGAAATAATTGCTATGATGATATCTGAGCTGAGATGAGCGACTAATGTTTACTTTGTTTAATCAAAACTGTGTGTAGGTAAGTGCCATCGGGGCTTAGTGAATACTACTCATGAATGAACTCATACTTCTTTCGGATAGAAATTTGAAATCGTGTTGGTAGTACCAGTCGCCTGTCTTTTCTAGACGAATTGTTATCTTCAAGTGCGTCCGTAAATAAACTGCTAAAATACACAGCATAGGGAAGGCTGCCTTGTTGGAGAGATGTAGTTTGGGTAAGGCGCTGTGGCCGGGTGATGACACGGAATCTGAAACAATGGAGTTAAACACTCGCTGCTTAGCCCCGTCGACAGCAGCGAAGACTGTCATATACCGCCCCATTTACGAGTTGGCTGTATAATGTGTATAGTTAAAGGTGATAGGTGTTGTCTTTTTCTAACAGCTACTAACATGCGTGTGTTGTCTGTTTTTAGGATTTGTCCATTGATGTTGTTCTTTTTATTGCGGCGTTTTTTTGTTGAGTTCTGTCACTTGAGTGTTGCAGTTTGTTTAAGAATTCGTCACGTGAGCGTGGTGTTTTGCTTGTGGGAATGTCGCTTTGTCACAATTTGTGATTGTTATAATAATTGTAAAGATTCATAATCTCATGAGTTAAGAATGGGTTTGTGCGTGATTCTTATACGATCACACTGTGATTCTAATGCTTCTAATGATATTATAATACCTTACCTTCGTTTATATGTTTATAAATTAAAACACTAGTTAATAATCGTTTAATGTCTAGTGTTATAGTTTATAGTATTACAGTTTACATGGTATAAAGTAGAGTTTATCCCCGGTACGTTGATGAAAGATTAACTACGTGGAACTTTCTCCTCAAGGAACACGTGTTAATCGGTAGACAGCCAAGATGCTGCCGGTTAAGGACACACTTGTGTGACGGAGATCCTCCACCTGAAATTCTCTGAACATGTTTTTGCTAGGAACATTATAAAATAAAGAACTGACAAACATTTGTTAAAAATACGTTTTTATTCATTTGCAATAATTTTACGTCAAAAGTCGAAGGCAATATTTATTACGTCCTATGTTCACACATTTCCAGTAGAATGCAAACCATTTCGTTCCAGGAATACCAAAGCGTAAAAGTTTCATTCCCCATGATTTCCTTATTAGTTCACCACATGTGTTCACTGTGGGTCTATGTTGAAGTCAAGGCCATATATCCAACGAACGCGTCATCAATGTACATCCTGAAAACCGGCTATCTAAAGTCGATTAATACCAATCAAAAAAAGCTATATACTTGAAAAAGAACCCGTTAAAAATGTTGAGTAAAGATGTACCATCATACGCATTCCAACTTTAGCTCAACAGGAACACTTAACGACTACAATTGAACCCTCTCACAACCAGTGCTCATCACACCACATCGGCAAGTAATCCGATAACATTACAAACTACCACTGTGCACGTCATTAAACTCTCACAAAAACTGTAAAACAAAAATGGTCAAAATTATACACAAAAGTACTCGATACGGATTAAAAGGTATAACCACATGACATAATATTTTGTCAGTCACCCCGAGCTCTCTGGTTGACTCTCGAGCCACTCCATTACATCCAGCCATCTCTCGGGATCCAACTGCATGGGATCGAAGGTGGAATTATCTTCAGGACTCATTGCAGCACCTTGAATTTCAGCTTTTGATTTCAGTTTCCTATCATTGTGGACCTTCTGATGCTTGTTCATGGTTGATGACCGTGCAAATGCCTTCCCACACACAGAGCACAAGAATGGCTTCTGGCCCGTGTGTGTTTTCTCATGAGCTTGAAGATTTGATGGGTGTGAAAATGTCTTCCCACACACAGAGCACAGGAATGGCTTCTCGCCCGTGTGTGTTTTCTCATGAGCTTGAAGATTTGATGATTGTGCAAATGTCTTCCCACACACAGGGCACAAGAACGGCTTCTCACCGGTGTGTGTTCTCTGGTGAGTTTGAAGAGTTGATGAGTGTGCAAATGTCTTCCCACACACAGGGCACAAGAACGTCTTCTCACCCGTGTGTGTTCTCTGATGGTTTTGAAGAGTTGACGAGTGTGCAAATGTCTTCCCACACAAAGGGCACAGGAATGGCTTATCGCCCGTGTGTGTTCTCTGGTGAATCTGAAGATCTGATGGCCGTGAAAATGTCTTCCCACATACAGAGCAATTGAATGGCTTCTTGCCCGTATGTGTTCTCTGATGGTCTTGACAAGTTGACGAGTGTGCAAATGCCTTTCCACACACAGGGCACAGGAATGGCTTCTCGCCGGTGTGTATTCTCTGGTGACTCTGAAGATGTGATGAGTGTGCAAATGTCTTCCCACACACAGAGCACAGAAACGGCTTCTCGCCCGTGTGTGTTCTCTGGTGACTCTGAAGATGTGATGACTGTGCAAATGTCTTCCCACACACAGGGCACAGGAACGGCTTCTCGCCCGTGTGTGTTCTCTGGTGACTCTGAAGATGTGATGAATGTGCAAATGTCTTCCCACACACAGGGCAATTGTAGGACTTCTTGCCTCCGTGGACGTGGGGCTGTGGAGAGCGTCTCTGCTCCATGTGAGCGTAGTAACAGTAGCGCTGTTATCGAGTCAAAAGTACGCTATCGGCCGCAAGGATGTTTAGCGTTGAGTTTTAGATTTTGTTAACTGCTAAAACAAGAACGACACTCGCGTCTAACCGAAACGCAAAAAATCCCGCTAATTTGACGACGAACACGTTCCGCGAAAATAGACACTTACTTGGAGATTCACGGTATATCGATGTCTGGAACCCGTCTGAAGATGTCGCCACGAACTCTCCCGACGCAAAGTCGCCTAACTGTCGACACAGCAATTGTGCTCGCCAGGCTGCGTTGTCTCGCGGTTGAAGGGCGATCAGCAGAGCGACGAGTCGAGCGTCCAACCTCATCAAGTTCTCTCTCGAAATGGCATTGAGCTCTGCTTCTGAGCCGCCTTATAACTCCCCCCCTAGGATCCAATCCTTTGTCTTTCAGGATATTTGCATTCGATTGTTAATTTTGGAAGGTACAATCCGCATGTCTATTAACATACCGAAGGGTAATGTGCCCATTGTACTTCATGCATGAATATGTAAGTGCATCTCAGTGTGTAATTGTGCGCTTATTTTGAATAAATGGAAAAACGTTGTCCTCGATTTAAAGTGAATGCAGAGAAATTAGCATGTAACTTTAGAAAAGGAAGAGAGCGGCCTTCTCGACGAGGGAGTGAAACCCAATAGGTAATATTCTTTTACAGCTTTACAATGGATAGGTTGTAGTTCATAGGTTATAATATTATGTTTCACTATGATAGAGCTTAACATGTGAGAGTCTACAATATCAGAGTTGATAAAATGCGACGATCAAGGGCGTCAATCGGGTGAGTTTGAACAGAGGCTTTAATCAAAGGCGTCATCCCATCACGGAACACCACCTCTCTGCGATTATTACAGCAACAGAAGCAACTACAGCAGCAACAACAGCAGCAACATCACATTTCGAGGGCAACGCAGCTACTTCCGATTCTGCTGCCCAGCTGTTTGTAGTCGAGACCTGCTCTCGCAGGACCCCACACGTCTTTGGAAATGATTGCGATGATCATGTCTGAGCTCAGAATTAAGTCACTCAAGATTACTTTTTTAACCATAACTTTAGGTAGGTTAGTGTCATCGGGGCTCTGTGAATACTACTCATGAATGAAATCACACTCCTGTGTGACCGACATTGTACTAATTTTGGTTGATCGAGTAGAACAAGGCACATAACATGTCCAGACGAATTCTTATCAACAACAGTGTCCTTAAATATGATGCTAAAATAAATGTTAACACTGGATTAAACGTGCACCTCTTAACCCCTCCCTCGCATTTACGACTAACAATTTGCATTTGCACATAACATACATTCAAGTACAGTAATTTGCTAAAACGACCAAATTGTCATTCTAAAATTTGAATGCCATTCTTACCCTCGACCCCCACAGTTCACATATCCGACCGTCGGTTCGATTGAACGGACAATTAACCAGTTGGTAGCTTTTTTTTGTCGTTTAATGTTGTTTATAGTGTTATCAATTTACGTGTTTTTAATTACAGGTGATTCCCGGTATACTTCGGTATTCTGGACCTGAACGTTGCAACGTCTCTCTGGGGAACCGTGTGGTGTGTGTAGCGAGTATCACGGGGTGGGTGGGTAGTGTGGTGATAGTGGTCACGGTCGGCACCGATGCACGACCACCGCCACCACCCCTACTGGGCGGTGGACCTGCCACCACAAAGCAGCACGCGGCGGAGGAGTGAGGCGATCGCTCTCGCCACGCGAGCGAGGCCCCCTCGCTTCCTCTTCTTTTCGTGCATCTCCACCTGCACCTCTTCCATCTTCTCCTCCATCTCATCCTCCTCCATCCCCTCTTCTTCATCCTCCACCACCATCTCCTCTACCTCCTCCTCTTCCTGCGCCACCTCCATCTTCTCCATCTTCTTCTCCTCCGCTAGCACCATCTCTTCCTCCTTCATCTCCTCCTCAACTTCCAGCACCACCATCTCCACCACCGTCTTCTCTTCCTCCTCCACCACCATTGTTTCCCCTTTGTCCGTCGTCTCCATGTCCTCCACCTCGACCATCTGTTCATCCTTTGTTGTCTCCTTGTCCTCCATCTCTGTATTGTCTTTCTCCTCTCCCTCCGTGTTCTCCTCCATTGTCACCATCACAATCTCGTCCTCCTTTGCCTTCTCTTCCTCCGATTTCTCCTCTGTCTCTACCTCATCCTCCATCATCTCCTTCACCTCTTCCTTCGTCTCCTTCTCCACAACCTCTGTCTTCACTTCAAAAGCCTGGACGAGTGAGGAGGAGGGCTGAGCTGGCTCAGATCTGTGAAGAGACAACACGACACCGTTCTAGATTTGAAGCTTTCGTGACTGCAGTGATTCATATTCTTGGGTTTTTTCGGTGAAGTCACGTAGGTAAAAAACATTAAAAAGTAAAATAAAATAAAAAATAAAAATCACGACGTTTCGGAGGCAACACAAGCTTCCGTCTTCAGGTGGTACCGTCACAGCCACGACAGCTGTATCAGGTAAATGAGAGATTGCAGAAGCTGCCACTTCGTTTATATAATGGTTGGAGAAGGTGGTGGTGCAAGGGCCGCATACTTTTATTAATATGGTAAGGTGAGGCTTAAGACTAAGAATAGACTGCATATCAAAGGCTGAGCCTTTGTTATGGAGAGGTGCGGTTTGTGACTCAACCTGTAACAGGGAGACCACCACTAGACATGGTAAAACTGATGGTTGTCTGTCAAACACGACACCGTTCCACCTTGCTGCTACGGCAGACATCGCCATCTCCCCATCGTCCGTGGGTGGAATGTGTGGCGGATTAATTCGAGCTGAATAGAAACAGCAATAACGACATGGCCAGTGAGTGTGCTTAGTATTGGTGCTGTCATTCTCATGGCGCCAGGCTATCCTTGAGATAGGTGTAGCTGTGTCTCACACAGACTGCTATAGTATCACAGTAGTGGGTGGCGTTGCTGTGCAAATTTAGCTGAATAATTTGAAGTGACATTTTTTTGGTTCTTTCGGTAAAGTCATGTAGGTATAAAATAAAATAAATTAAATCACAACGTTTCGATTGTAACACAAGCAATCATCATCAGGTGGGAAAACCACAGCAAGAAACGTTCTTGCAATAACGACATGGCCATCGAAACGTCGTGATTTAATTTAATTCATTTTATTTCATACCTACGTGAATTTACCGATATAACCAAAGAATATGGATCCCTGTAGTCACTAAAACTTCAAATCTAGATTGAACATATTCTATATGTATATTCTAATTGACCCCTTGCACATAATGTCCTAAGCATTTCAAATGGCATCGATAGAGATCCTGAACGTCCACTGTGACGGAATGGGTGTGGATCTGTGTGGTCAATGCAGCAGCAATAATAGCCAGGGCGGGAAGCAAGATCTGAACTGTAATGGTGAAGAATGAGTGCACGAAAATTTGGTCGCTTCAACACATCCACGATTTAAAAAAAGTGTCCGTCAGTGATTTGTGGTCGAGAGAGCCACCTCCCTTGACGTCAAAGGCATCTCAGAGTGCATTGCATGCGATGAGCCTCTCGCATCTCTCATCTCATCGCGTTTTAAATTGGACACCCCTCTCAGTGGTAGCTGTCGCTGTGCATTACAAGGCGAATTGGCAGCTGGCCTAGAAACAGGCGATAGACAGCGAAAATCTGAAGGTGGATGGAGGGTTACATGGTGAAGATATGCCCACTTTGTTATGTGGTCTAACCAAGAAACCAGTTATGAAAAATATGTCCACAGTATAGTAGAATGTACACGTGGGGTTTGCAGTGTCTGTGAATTTTGAGAGCGCGACAGGGCTTGAGCACCTGTGCATCACAGCAACATTGACCTGGGTTTGATTTCCACGTTTGGCCACATTCTCCGTGTGGATTGTGCAGCCACCTGTTCTGGGAATGTTCTGCAGCTTTCTCCCTGTTACTAAACCCACACAAGCAATGCAAATTGTTCAATTTGGATCGCAAACAGTATCAACTTTCTTGAAAAATGCGAGCAAACTTGGCAGGATCCTCCTGAAAAAAGTCTTGAGACCGAGTAAGGCTGATGCTGCGTGAGAAGCATGGCAATAAATAACAAAAATAAACACACAGGACGCACACGCAGAGTGGTTTACCGTGGCTCAGCGACTCCGGAGTTTGCTTTATCTTTTTGGAAGCCCTCTTCTCCAAAGCTCGTAGCTATTGGGCCCCACACAGGATTGGAGGACGTGGTGGTGGTGGTGGTGGCGGCGGTGGTGGTGGTGGCGGCGGCGGTAGCGGTGGTGGCGGTGGTGGTGGTGTCAGTGGTAGTGGTGCTGCTGCTGGTGGTAGCGGTCTGGAGCCATTGTCGCTCGATCTTGGCGAGGCGCTGCTCCTCCTCGAGGCGCTTTTGCTCCACAAGACGCTTCTCCTCCATCAAGTGCTCCTCCTCCTCTTGACGCTTCACCTCAACGAGGCGCTTCTCCTGCATGAGACATTTCTCCTCGAGGAGCTTCACCTTGCGAAAGCGCCTTTCCTCAAGACGCTTCTTCTTCTTCTCGAGACGCTTCAGCTCTATGAGACGCTTCACCTCAAAGAGGCGATTCTCCTCCATGAGGTGCTTCTCTTCCTCGACCCGCTGCACCTCAATGAGGCGCTGCTTCTCGACAAGGCGCTTCTCTTCTTCCACCCGCTTCTCCTCCATGAGGCGCTTCTCTTCCTTGACCCGCTTCACATCTATGAGGCGCTTCTCTTCCTCCAGATGCTTCTCCTTGAGACGCTTCACCTCGCGAAGGCGCTTCTCCTCCATGAAGCGCGTTTCTTCAAGGAGGCGCTTTTCCATGACGCGTTTCACGTCGTTGAGGATTTTGTTTTGAAGGCACTTCTGCTCCGTTTGGTGCTTCACCTTGGCGAGGCGCTTCACCTCATTGGGGCGCTTCTCTTCCAATGTGCATTTCTCCTTCGCAAAGCGCTTGTCCTCCTGGAGACGCTTCACTCCACTGAAGTTCTTCACCTCCCCAATGCTCCTCTGTTCACGCGAAGATAAGCACATGACCATTCAGACATGCGCACTCAGGACACAATCCATTCTCGCAGGCACACAAACATGGACGGGCACATAGACAAACAAAAATGCATACTGGCACATCTATGTAGGATGCAATAATGCACATTAACTCATGCAAAAATGATAGCAAACGTATGAATATACACCATCACCTAATGTTATCAAAATACATGTTACATCCTCATATTCTCACAAATTCAATACACGCACTTAATGCAGTGATAGTCTACAACGATTTCATGGCGATTGTTGGCAACAATCATCACGGGCAATAGTTTCCACAGAATGTTCTATTGTAAAGATCTGGATGCCCATAATCTGGACACATTTTATTGCAGCACCCATAATGGGTAACTGGAATGGCAACTTCCAATCAGCTCACAGACATAATTCATGAGATTGCATGATATCATTCTGTCTTCATTGGTAATGAATGGCGACTTCATTTGCCTGCACGAGTGGGATATGGCATGACGTGATGGTGGAGAGATGGAGTGATGGTGTTGGGACATGGTGTTGTTATACGGAGAGGTGAAATTGTGGAATGTTCTGGAGAGACGGTGCCTTGTGATGGTATTGACGCTTTATGAGGCTCTATGATATTGTATTGAATCTCGAATTGAAGCTTTCGTGACTGCAAGGATTCATACTCACATATGTGACTTTACCGAAAAAACCTAAGAAAGAGTCACATACGTGACTTTACCGAAAAAACCTAAGAGTATATTGTATTGAGTTGGTGGTGGTGTAGTGTGATGAGAAAGGTGATGTGAAGAGATGGTGTGGTGATGTGAAGTGTAGTGATGTTTTGGTGCAATGGTGTGGGAGTGTGGAGAAAATGTGGTGTTTGACTCCCATAGACCCCATACACACCTTTGGGGAACGATTTTCATAGCTTTGGCCTGAGAAAGGGTCCACTTCATCCATAATGTCCCCCCACGTGGTCGACTGGCGCCATGACTCCCGGGCTACGGAAAACAAAATTAATTCAAAGGACGAGTAATGTATTAGAGAACGAAGCACGTGGATATTCACACAACTAATTCTGAGATTCTTGTAATTACCTCTTAACACATAACATACCCTGCTGTTGAGAAACATTAGTCACATGGCAGTAAAACTTTACAAGTCATATTTTTGTAAGCATGTTGAGATCATCAATTTAATAAAGTTGAGACCCCAATTTAAACCAATATGGCTGAAACTCAGTTCTAAATCCATGCTGTCTGCTACCCTTGACCGTTTACCTCTTCCCATCACCACCAAGCCACGTCCACTAAAAATAATTAATCAGGGAGCTGCCTCCGTTGCATAAAAGCCACGTGATGCAGGTAACTGAGACTTACCATCATAGTCCTCCAAGATGTCAGCCCACTTGCGTTGTCTGTCCATGTTGTTGGGAAGCAGTAGTTTCTGTTTGATGTTGGACGGCCTAGAGAGGTTGTAAAAACGCTAAGATTTAGCAACCTTTTGATTCACTCATCCTCTCAATTATTACATATTTGACCACTCGCTGTACCAATCAAATCACTTTCGTGCCGTTTGTTTTACAAGCCCACTCACTCGCTTGTTTGCCCACTCACGCGTGCGTCAGATCACTCACTCATGCACCCATGCGAACATCTTTATTCCAACTGCCTATTGCATTAAACATAATCGCCAGACATAACCGTGATGTTTAACCTCTAATCCAGACAAGCATGTTGATGCACAGTCCATTTGTATTAATCGACTGCTTGATAAAGGCCTCCCTATGTCTTGTAGGTCATTGGGGTCAAATGACC